TAACAATTAAAAAAACAAGTCCCAAAATATGTTCATGCAGATCTGCAAATATGTGTAGATTTCTCAGATGTTCCTTTATTAGTTCTCTGTTACACTGCAATATCAACTAAACTGAAGGAATCTATCACGTATTCATCTATCATGAAGGTAAATGTGACAGGTTCCTGCTTCCCTCTACCCAGGTCAGACGGGGAGCTCAACAGCTGGGGCTTTGGCCTTTACTCTTTTTTACCTGAAGATGGAATAAAATTTAGCTTCCAAAATACAGTGTGTAAAACCCAGATGAGTAAATGCAACTTGTAAACTTCAGTGTAAACCTCCAGGTAAAAAATCAAGCAACTGCAGAATTATCGGAGGCTCGATTTCCAACCAGACCTTGCGGCTGCATTCATCACACGTGCTCCAGTTTGCCGGAGGTTTAACTTCCAGATGTAGTAACTTGTAATGTGTATGGCTATACTGAGCGACTAGAGAGTGAAATGTTTGTAGACAATTTTCTACCCAATCTCCCCTGGTCATAAATGTTCCTGTGAACATTACTCAGAGTCTGAAATTCTGAGGATTTATAACATTGAAAAATTTGTTAGGTCTCTTTTAAACCTTCTATTGTAAACCACTGTTGGTCCAGTATCCCATATAATCCTTAGGTCTTTATGAAATGGGAGGAACAAAATAAGTTTTGTATATTGTGTGGTAACAGTTTCAGAATTGTTAAATATAAGTATTCTTTCATTGTGATATACAGTGTGTGTTTTAACATTTATGCATGTATAGATTTGGAAGAATCTTGTAAAGAATGTCCAAATTCTATACATAAGAACGCCTTGGGTGTGGGTCTTTATGTTGTTTAGATACAAACAAATGTAACCTTATAGAGGCGTGTTTCCAGTTCTCCGCTTGAATCCTGCTCCTGAGTCATGAGGCAATATTTCGACGTCTTTGCATTGGCGACATCCTTCGCATCTGTCAGTTTGGTAACTGATTTGCGTCGCTTCATAAGTGGCTGCATAACAGTACCAAGTTCAACTGCATTCCTTGGTCTGTGGTCTAACCACGTTTCATCCCCAGTTGATCGAGATCGTCTGTGCCTTGGATTGCTCACTGCTGGCCCCTGAACAAAATAGAAGTAGCACTACATTTTAATGCAAATTATTCTGTCTCAATTATCAGTTTTCCAGAAACTGATAAACAAGGGTTGCCTGTAAAGACATTTTACATTTCTAAGCATACTTTGTACCGTCCACCTTTCTGCTAAAATGCAAATGAAGATCCTGGTACTGAATAAAAGCAGGTCCCATGTCTGCAAAACAATGCTATTAGAAGACACAACTGCTGCTATTCCATTTATACCTGACAAATACAATTTTTCTTTATAATTATGAATAAAAACTTACATTGAATAATGTAGAGTAATATTTGTTGAATTGTATTTTTCTTTTCCTGTTTAAAAAATTAATATAAACAATATTATTATAAAACTGTGACCCCAAACTACACTGCATGCATTGTATAAAAAATATGCTGACATGAAGAAGCTCTCAAGAGAAACCTGTTTTGATAGCTAGAAGCTAACTTCACAGCGATGAAATGTAGGCAAGACATAAAATCTCTAATTCCATCAACCAAATTGTGCATGTCTTTGTGAGAGCTACGGTGTTGCTATCACCCCAAAGAAGGGTCAGGCAGAAGTTATGGAAACTATGCTGTCATTACACCATGCTCTGCTTACAATGTCATATTTATATGCAATTAGAATTATATAGTGATCTCTGATGTTTACTGCAATAAACTACAAATTCACAACAGATACTCATGATATAAAAACACTAAAACATGTAAAAGATTGCCACAGGGTATCTTCCAAAATATTAATTATCAGACTTGTCATATTCAAGTGAATATCATACTAATACAGAAAAGGTAATACTTGAACAGCAAGTAAAAACTTAATTAAAGACAAAGTAAAATCTTCACCTACGAGGCGCGTCGACAAAGTAAGTTTCCCACTCGTCCCACAGCTAGCAAACCTTATATTGCGCGAAGCGACTGTGCATACGTGATAGAGCAATGACGTAGCATGGCGCATGCACTAA